CGCGGGTTGGCCGGCCTGCCCGTCCTCCCGCCCTCTTTCCGGCTGCCTCGGCTCGGCGCACGCCTCCTCAGCGGGCCGCCGTGGCGGGCAGGCCCTTGGCTTCGCCCGGCTACTGCAGCGCGGGGTGGCGAGGCCCCGGCTGGCCGGAGGCGTCCCAGACGGGTGGTCGGCGGCCGGGAGAGGGAGGAGTGGCACCTGGGAAAAAATAGCGGGGTCGTACCGGCAGAGGAGCTCGGTCTTCGTCACCGATAGCGCCAGTTATCTCGGTAATTTGGAAGCTCCGTGCCAGGCTAGCCTTAGGAGTGAATGGAAGCAAACAATCAGCGCTTGGTGGGTCCAGGAGGCGCCGGGAATGAAGTGCTTGGGATATTGCCTGGCAAAGAAGACGAAGTGATGTGTGACAATTCCGTTGGGCTGCAAATGCCTTCTTACGACATGTCCCCCGTGTACGTAGTGGTTATGAGCCCAATTCGCATCACTGAGTTTCTTCAGAACAGCCAGATGTGAGCCAATGCTCTCCCCAATCTTGAAGTGGCTTTGAAATACAGTAACAGTTCTTCAGTGTCCTTCCAAATGTCACCATCTCCAAGTTCTTTGAGAAGCACTTTATATAAAAAATTCTTCAGCAGCATTTTGTTGCATACTTCAAGTGTATTAAAAAAGAAACTTTTGGGTTTTTTCTTTCACTTCAAAGTCTAGTTCCTTGAGATTATTAGTGGGGAAAAAATGACTTGCATAGAAACAGGAACATTTTTCAGTGATAAATGTTCATTTTAGTTTTGAATTTCTACAAGAGAATCGTGTCTACTTCTCCAATTCAAAATGTCTTGAGGCATTTACAACAGCTCAGCCATTATAGTTCTGTGTATATTTATAAATCTATGTCCAGCCTTCAGCTTTTCAGGAAATGCAACAAAAATCTGAAAATAAGAGGTAGGTTATCACCTCACCTTGAGCAGATTAATGGGCATCTCAGGCATGCTTGTAATAGCACGTAATAGCAAATATGTGACTGTGTAACTTGTTCCCTTATAAAGAACAGCTACACAAACCTTGGTAAATAATGATGAGGTGTGTTTATGGCTGAAGCCAATACTGTCAAGAAAACTGAAATAACTGTTTTGCTGTCCCCACCAGGAAATGTTTGGTGTCTTCCATTCTCGCCGTTCAGGAATTGTCCTTTCAGCCCCATGTTCCAGTTCATAGCTGGTTCTCTAAAGGTGGCAAGGTAACAGCCCCCAATTAGTTTCTAGTAGTGACAAGTTATACTTGCAGTTATATAAGTTGCAAGCTGCTGGAGATGCAGGAGAGGAAGGTAGGTTGACTGCAAAGGTTTGACCCAGACCTGGGCCCAGTACCTGGAGAGAAGGATCTACTCTTTATCAACAAATGCGGAGCAAGCAGCCGCCACTTCTCCTGGTTACCTCCCTTATTGTTTTCAGGCAGCATTATACTGATGATGTGATGTAACTGACCTGTGTCATGTGAAGTCAGTAGAAATATCTTTTCACCAAGGTTAATGCTCTGATCAAATTATGGTGTCTGCAGAAAAAAAATTTAATATCTTGTGGCAAAAAAAAAAATATTTTCTGGGTCTGTGTAGAAGTCTTGGGAGATGTAAGATAGCTGCAATGTCATTATTTTGAGGTAACATTATTTTAAAACCCCTACTGCATTATCTGAGTTTAGATGTATTGACTCACTGGGGGAGACTTATTACAGTGCCTTGCAGTTTTATTTTGCTGCCTGATATTTGGAGTAAACAAAGTTTGCTTCAATGCCTGTGCCCTGATTTGCTTTGTTGTAATTGCTTGAGTATGTTTTAGGCATGCTAAGTGTAGGAGGAGAAGAGAACTAGTGCAGAAGGAGCTCTTTGAATCACACTATTTGGGGACATAGCAGCCAAAATCAGCAAGAAAGGCAGCTGCAGCTCCGTACTTAGAGCCAAATCTGGCCCTGGACATGGTGCAGAGCATTGCCAACAGTGTCTGTTGGCAAAGCATGAGAACTGGGGAGTTTACGAGAACTGAATAAAAGAAAACCTATGGGCAGCTGGTGATGTGGGCACCCTCTCCTGGCACCTGGTGAGCCCCCCATGGCTAGCTCTGGCTTAGCTGGTAGGCAAAGCCGTGCTGTTTGTAGAGCTCTAGGACTCTGAGGTAGCTGGCACTGAGACAGGTGGCAGCAGGTTAAGAAAGGTCCAAGTAGCAAAGGTCCAAAGGCAAGATTCAGAGCTCTGGGCTGGTCTATGAAAGAACTGTCTTGTTGGCAGCTGTGGCAGGGTACCTTGAAGCTTTGGTTACTAACTTGATTAGGTGGTTTAACTTCATTAGGTGGTTTCTCTGCCTTACTTATCACTTAACTAACAGCAGATGTGTTTTTGAGAGAGGACTATTTTAAATGATAAAGGTGAAATTTTTTTTGTGTATAATTTTAATAATACCAGAAAAAGTCCAGGGGCCTGTACTGAGCCTGGGTATGCAGAAGCGAGACTATTGAGAAAACTGCCTTGTAATTTTTTATTTTTTCAAAAGAGAAGGAGAAGCTCTCTGAAGTTTCAGTCTTTCTGGTTGGAGAGTCACTTGCTTATCGCAGGGATTTGAAGTAGCCCTCACTTTGATCATGTGAAGATGAGGAACAGCCCACAGATGCCCTTCCATAAAAGCCAAGAGAATGATAGTAACAGCCTACTGTCTAACGGGAGATCTCACCACATCAGGCTGAGGTCGTACAGGTACACCTCTCCCTATTTCAGTTGACAGACTACCTGCCTGATGAAACCTGCAGCAATGTTGTAACCACGAGGTCTTGGTTGTAAATGCTCCAGCTTTTAGCACTGAAAGTCTCATTTGTGCTCATTTTCTGTCTGCATTCAAGTAGCTCTGAAGCAGTCATGCAGCAGCTGTGCTCCACGCTGATAAGCCTGGCTTGCATCTGGCTAGGAAAAAAGTGCAAAGGGGAAAATAATAGAAGCAGTTGGAAAAGAGTTAAGTAACAATAAAAGAGAGCAGATCCAGCTATGAAAAATACGTGAGGCTTGCAGGGCATGAGTAACCCACTCCAATTTAATGAAAATACAAGCTGTGAAAAATATGGGCAGATTAGTGTGATGAGTCAGTGGCTGAAGGACCTGTTTTAGGCTGCCTGTCACAGTCTTATTCTTCAGCAGACTGTGCTGAAAAAGACAGGAAAACAGACCTTGTTCTTTAACAATGCCAAATGTAGTTATTGTTTTTCAGCAATGGATATCATTGTTCGGGAAACTTCCCTTTTTTTATCCTCTTAATATGTCTACACAGGAATTTTTTGTAGGGGGAGGGAAGTGCTTACACTTTTAGAATACAATGTTAGGGACTGATAAAATAAGTAAATATTATCTATCACAAACAAGGTCTTATAGAACAGAAGCTGAAACTCACCTGTTTTTCAAAAAGTAGCCACAGGTAAAATGGTCCTTAAAACAGAGGGCCTCAACTTAAGGCCTCACAGCCACAGAAAAATAAAAAGATAAAACTAAGGACGAGTGACAGCAGGGTGGAGTGTTGCCTGCAACAGGCTGGTTACTTGATATTGTTGCTCATGCTTCAGTTAAAGCTGGGGATAATTGCTTTAAAAGGTTCCTCAAAACTCACTGTCTAAACATTATTTCTGTCTCTAGAGTCTATAGTGATTCTTCCCAGATGAATGGCTCAGATGTTTTCTTCATTTGTAAAAACTATCGTATCACTCTGCTATATTTTGTAAGATAACATAGTAAAATTTGCTGTTTGCTAGAGCATCTCTGATAGAGGAGTATCATGGCCTGGCTTTGGCTAGGAGATCCATACAAACGGGCTGAACATGCTGAACTGTGCAGATGGCAGTGTGGACAAGAACTGAATGTTTTCATGGCGTGGACCATGGATGACCAGCTGACAGGAGAACAATACTGCTGGAAAGGTAGTGCCATCTCATTGATAGGTTGCCCTGACAACGTCCCGGTAGAGGAGCTTATTGGTTTACAGGAATTTTCTCTGTGTTCTCTATGTGTCCCTGCAAATCGCTTCAGCTGTCTCTGCCAGTGGGTGAGAAGTTAACATGATTAACAAGTTAGTGGTAAAATTAAAATCCCAAACAGGTTTATTGCTAAGAGAGGGCTGGCATTTGTATTAGGATTGGCCTTGGTACCAAGGCACTGAAGGAGGGTACCTTATGTAGCACGTCAAATGGCTCCTGCATGGACACCCTAATGCTGGTTTTCAAATGTGGGTCCAGGACCTTGTTTCTAACTCTTGTATCCCAGCACTGGGGACAAAACCTAGATATTGCGCATCAGTTTCTTCAAGATAAAAGTGTGCTGGAAGAACAGATCCAATGTCCTGCCAGTAAGCACCTATTCATGGGGAATGTCAAACTCAGTCAGCAGTAAGGCACTTGGGGCTTGCCAGAACATAGGACTTGCCTGGTGGGAGGTGTGTAATTGTGCCCAGCCTCCATCAGGAGGGAAGAAAAGATTTATGGACCCAGGCCATATGACACCGTGCCAGGAGTATGGGAAAACCCAAAGGTATAGAAGTAGAGACAATAGTCTTATGAATAACAATGTCTTGAACGGGGATGTTGTTGCTCAAATCCTGTTTATTTTGGGGAAAATGGGGACAGAGGTGGATGCAGATGCAGCGTATCATCTTACATTATGTGTATTGCAGCAAAACCTACGGGGGTAAGTTGCTGCATTTATACTGTACTTGGGGTCATCCCTGTTGCTATTACTGCTCCTTGACAGAGTCCACTAATACGACCTGCCTCCAGGCAAATGCTTTTAAAGGGCTGTTCAGGTTCACCAGTCAAGTTTCTAAGTCTCATTGTTAGGAATCAGCATTAGGATGGCAAATTACTGCTAGTGGAGTATACCCTGCCCATCATACTGAACTGCCTGAATCTCTAAGCATTCCGAGATGGTACAGCTCTAAGTGACGTGA